AGCCACAAGATACATAACATTATATTATAATACTATATTGTACGAAATTTAGGGTTTCATAATCCATTACAATGAATATTTTTGGTATGAATCATGTAATGGTATTTTGTACATCATCCGTAAGAAACAAACAATCGACCATAATTTATTATTTTGTAACTTTATTCATATACGACGGAATTGTTGTTAACGAGTGGTTGTTATATAATTTCAACGAATGGTAATAGACGGTAGTATTATATAGGGTTTGCGAAAGTCGATTTTCGGATATACTACAACAAAATAAATATTATCTCAAGTCCTCATATATAACTAAGTAATCATTTTTWTGACTGCTAGTTTTTAAAAACATWATTATTATTAGGCTATAATAAAAGTAAATTTAAGCTAAATTGAATGGTTTTAAATATCATATTGAATTTTTTTAAAGAAGTTTATTATGACACATAAATAACTAATAARTATCAAATCATTTAATGGAACGGGTCATTATAYATTATCTTAACACTTAACTTTTTTTAAATTACACAAATAACAACTTATGAAATCTCGTATTAAATTTTCTAGTTGGTTGACCTAGTAAACAAATTTAGAATATAGATAGACCTACGTCATAATATAATTATGTTATCTGAACAAATATAGATGTAATACGAAAAATATTCGAGTGACCAATTGTTCATAGATCTAAATTTCGTACAATTTCTGTACAAAATTATGTTCGAAAAGTTCAAAATTATACATTTCGCGTGAACACTATATGCAGAAAAGAGAAAACTTTCGGTGAGTTTTTTTTTAGTATTATGTACCTATAATCTTCGGCAAATATATAATTTAATAATTATAAAAATATAATATAATATATAATATTATTATCTTTAATATTCCTATAATTATTCACTGTCTTATTAACTGCGACACACTCAGTAACATATCAAGTTTTTCAATCTATTTAAAAAAAAAAAATGAATGTACACTGTTTTAAGATTATGAATTTTTAAAATTGCATTTTATTTATATAGCTGCCATAAAAACCCAACCTTGTGTACATAATATAGAGCGCAACATAATATAGTGATTTTGTGTACAGGGCAAACAAAATGTCGCTATTCGCCGAAACGATGGTCGCATAAGTTACGAGTTATAGTAAAGTTTTTTATTTTACTGTTGTAAAGTTTTTATTTTATACATTCTAAACATTGTTTATTCCCCTTATAGAAAGAACCGAAGCATTAGATGTGCTACATGCACGTATAGCTGTCCTGTTAACACGTTCGAATGAATTATCATTGGTCGAAGCGTTTTGAATACGGATGGAGAATATATATAATAATAAAAATATCCCCATTCGGACTGTCCAAGTTTTTTTTTTTTTTTTATTTCGGTTTTCCTCCTATACTCAAGGGTTTCGTACAAACCTCCGTCCCCCCTCCCCCGTCTGATATATAACAACGTGTATGAAATATTTTATTGCGCTTCAAAACTGATATATACAATTTTCTCCTGACGCCTTCGCATGTGAATACTATATCCACCCCTTTTTCGTTCTCTACCGATCACTCTCTCTCTTTTCTTTCCTTATTTTTACCCTACGGTAATCCCCCAAGATGTATGAAAGTACAAAATATTGATGCCATCGCCGGACCCTTAGAATATTCAATTGGAATTGAGGCGTAAACATGTCCTCACTATACAATATCGTGCTGCAGTATAGTTGTGTACACAAACTGACAGACGAAGTACGATCTTTATTTTATTTTTATTTTTACGACGTACTCGAATGGAAATATATATATAGGTATATTGATGAATATCAAATGAACATAAAAAATAAAAATATTTGTTGTGATTTTTRTTTTTCAATATAGGTATCACAGAAAAACTGCAGCTGACGTGTAATGATTATAACTATAGGTACTGCATATTCGAAGCAATTTAAGTATATATAATGGTTTTATTATAAAATATTGCATCGTTAGCACGCGTTTGTCTAAATACATATATAGGTACGAACTATAAAATAATGCACTTAATTTTTTTAAGTTAAAGTTCATGATATCTCTCTTAATACAAATTAAAAATATGATTAGCTTTAAAATATTCTAGTTTTTTTTTATGTATTAATATGTAGGTATGGCGATATATATATCGAATGAAACTTTTCTGAAATGTTTATTCTTTATTTTTATAATGGAAAAAACTGCTGTAACAATTTAATTTAAATGGTTCAATATAATTTATTGTTATGTTTATTTATGGCGGTTGCTTGACATTGGTTAAAAAATGTATAACTTTATACATTTTAATTATACATCTTGTAACGTAGTAAACGAGAGTAATCGTGCGTTTGAAAATTACAATTTTTTCTCAAAAAAAAAGAAAGTATATTCAGTTAAATTAAAATATTGTATAGTGTACCTATAAAATTATATACTATTATTACTTATTTATAAGATATATTAATATTTAACGTCCTATATACACTATAGGCATTTTCGTGTTTAAAATTTGGCCACCTTAAATAATATAGTTTATTATCAATATTGTGCTGTATAGTATTTAAATAGCTTCCTTTGATTGAGCTCTAGTTAGTAACTGGAGGCTCCAACCAAACCCGACTAAAACTGAGGGTACACTGCTGTTCCGTCTCAACAATAACAGTGTCATAATTACGGGTGGGGAGGGTGTGGAGTCGTATCGTAATTACATTTATATAGTGTTTTAACTATAAATAAACTAATAAAATATACTTAATATAGTACTTATTATAGTCTATATTCTATATAAATAGTACAAACATAAAACCCGAATCCCCTTACGCTATAGCTGTACAAAGCATTAATACTGCAAAAATATTAAACTAAGATTATAATATCTATTTGTAATGTGAATATTCTTAAATTATTTTTTTCCGTGTCACTTCGTACATACATTTATTGCACTGAAAAGAGATGCTTGTAATAAATACAATTTTTTTTTTGGGAAGGTGGATGAGTAAAATGTATAATACAAATTTCATCCCCCGACCAAAAACATAAAAATAATATTTGATAACAAAAACCCATTTCACCGAAAAAAAAAAATGACCAAACTACGCTACTGCTCAACAACCAAAAGCAAATCGGAAATAAAGGGGGTCTTTACTCTTCAATGAGCAACAAATTAGGAGTAATCCTAATCCAATATAGGTACTATTATAAGAATAACATATTAAACGGTTCGCAGACTTAATAGACCAAATAGTGACATCAAAGGTTTGCATCAAAAAGTAATCTAATAACAGATAAATAGACTTGCTCAAACTATACCTAACCTTTGGATGTTTTCCACTATTTGCATCCGCCATCACCTAGTCAGGTTAGTCGATTACTGTGCACCAGTCATATATGACTTAACAGCACACACACGAGCGCGCGAGCAAAATAGACATTCATATGCAACGATTAGGACAATTTCCGAAACATTCCGCCCAACACCGKTCACTATCATGGCTATCAGTATTGTTGAAGCATGTCCCKGGTTCGAGAATACAACTGCAATCGTTTTTTGAAATGCTTAAAATAGAAGTTTGGCCATACACGAGTACACGGATAATAATCCTAAACAAAGATCAAAATCTCGTAACCATCGTTAGAAGCTAACACGAAAATTAATAAAGTAAAACTTTAACCTTTGAAGCGCTTTGAAGCCAGATTGACAGCTGTGTCGATCAAACCTTAGTGTCACTAGGCTACCTGCATGTATGGTTGCAGAGCAATACGAAGCGCCATCTTACTTTTGAACATACGCTGCAGGTCCCTGGTTCGAGAATACAACTGCAATCGTTTCTTGAAATGCTTAAAACAAAAGTTTGCCCACACACAAGCACATGAATATTAATCCTAGACAAAGATCAAAATCTCGTAAGCCTCGTTKGAAGTAAGCGCGAAAATTAATCGAGAAAAACTTTAACCTTGAAGCCGCCTCATTTGATTCACAGCGGCTGTGTCGATCAAACCGTTCTGTGATTAGAGCATTGGACAATACTTTTTTTGGTATCGTTTAATAACCGAGTTACAACCGAGTGTAGGTACCTACCAAGAATTGACTGCTGCTTTTAAACCATTTTGGTTACCCGCGGTTGTAACCATAATTACCATGCCCTCGCACCACACGGCACTCGACGGCCGATGTGAATCCGCCTCTGACAAACCCTGTATGAAACGAACGTTTCCCCAGCCCATCACATTCAGRTTTTTTGAAATTTTTTTTTCATCAATATTTAGTATGGAATTTGTATGAATTTGTATGACAAAAATCAGAATTTGTACGGATTTATTTTTAAAGGAAAAAGCAAAAAAGTGTGGGGGGCTGTAGAAACGTTTCCCCAGCCCTCCCAGAAACTAAAAATAACTTTTTTTGATTTTTGTCGTACAAATTCATACAAATTCCATACTAAATATTGATGAAAAAAAATTTCAAAAAATCTGAATGTGATGGGCTGGGGAAACGTTCGTCTAAATGAACCGGTTGGTATATATACCGTAAATTTACCGGATTTTTTTTCGAGTTCTCTATGTTTAAACAAGTATGGACTCATTGGACTCCGTTGGAAAATGTCTGCTAGCGGCACTGTACCTAATTACACAGGCAAAGAACAAAGCCACAAAGGTACAGCTAATTTTTGCAGTTCATTATTTTTGTGCAATAAAAAATATTTAAGCTTTTGTTTATTGCTTATTATATAAATATAAATTCATATTCCTATAAAAAATATAAATGCAAGATCGAAATGATCAGAATGATAATTGGATACTTACTACACTTTGTATTTTAAATATTTAATTTCAATTCAATATAATAATATTGTTGTACCTAATTTATTATATTTTATTGTTATTGATAGTGCGCCATCTATATGCAAAACCACACAAATTATAATACGAAAAAATATAATATACATTATTATTTACTGATAATGTGATGAACTGATAACAATTATTTACAATATTAAATAACATTATTCATTACACATTACAATATACAATAAATCACAGGTAAACAGGTTACTAACTGTCAACAGCAGTTAGTTGTAGATTATAATTTATTTTTCAGCAACATCATATTAAATTTWAATTTTTTGTAACCAAACAATAATCATTGTATAAATACAATAAATGTACGATTAGTACTATAAAGTGTAAACAAAGAACATTTTCATTACTTCCTAGGTACCTACTTAATTCAAATTTTTATTTAAAAATGAGTTCTGATGATGATAATTCTCAAGATAAACCTAACTTGGCTACAGAAGAATAGTAAGTACATTTTTGATACCTATCTTATAAATAATTTCATTTACTCTCTAAAAGTTTACTAAATTCATTTTCTAAAATATTTATTTCTTCTTGTAACTTTGTTCTAACATTTTGTCTCTTCAGCGAATCTATTAACTCCAATTGTTTTCTGAATCCTGTAATTAGTGCATCTTTTTCCCTAACACATTTTGCCAATATATCGTCGTTCTTAGATAATGCTTTTGTATACTTTTCTTCTGATTCTTTGAGTGCGGCTTCCAACTTTTTTACAGTTTCTTTCAGCTGTTTGTTCTCATCCGAAGTTTTTATAAAAATTGATCTTTGTTTTTCATGTACGATTTGTTCGTGTTTAAATTTTCTCTCTAAACATCCTATATCTTTCAGTATTCTGTTCACCTCARAATCTCTAGTTTTCAATGTTCCAGTTAAATKTTCAACTTCTCTATCATGTTTTTTTATTTTATCTTTGAGTAATGATACCTGATGCACGCATTTATCTTTTTCTTCAGTCAATTTTTTATTTTCTTCTTGTAAATGATCATTTAGATCATCTTTTTTCACTAGTTCATTATTTAAAYGATCAATTTCTTTTTGCAATACATAATTTTTGACAGTTATTTCTTTACTTGAAACAGTCTTAAATTCTTCAATAGTATCGCCATTATCAATAATTTTCATAAATGTATTAAATTCTGAAGATCTAATTGGTTTTGGTTTTGGTTTAACATTTRGTGTACTATGCTTATCATAATCATCTATCTTACTTTTCATTTCATTGATTTCATCCATAAATTTTTTTGTTATTTTGTTATTTTCCTCGTACTTCATTTGTAGTACTTCTTCGTTTTTTAATATTTCCCCTTGTTCCTTTGGCATACGAGCCATAATTTCCGTGCTCAATAATTATTTTAACACCCACCAAAATTCTATTTACTGTATTACTTATTTTCATTGAGTTTATTTAATTTAACACATGGAATTTTTTCATTTTAAGTTAATAAAATAAAAATGAATTAATGTTAATACTAAAAAATAAAAATTATGCCTTTGTTAATTGTTTACATTTTGTGGAGTCCTTRCGATTATGGTAACTAAGATATTATYAATAAATTAACAGTGCTACCAAAAATTATTTTTTCTGTAATTTCTAAATAGTTAAATCTTTACTAAGTAAAAAAAAAAATGACTGTGAACTGACTTATAAAGCTTATAACTTTGTATTTAATATTATAAATTGYATAATTTATACATAATATTTWTTTTTTTTTTTAATTTCAGTTGGAATGATACTTACAATGTAGAATTAGACAATTTCAAAAACTTTGGTGATCCTGGTGCTGAATGGTTTGGGCATAGTATAGGACTCAAGATGATTAAGTAAGATGTCAATGTGTAAGGGTTAAAACATTTTATATGGAAATATTAAGAAAAAAAAAAAAACCCATTTGTGGAATTATTGATATTAATGAATGATATTTGTTTAGAGGTACTACCTGATGCCTTGATTATAGTTAACAATTGCAATGAAGCATCCTGCTATTCTTAATAATTATATAAAAATAATTAAATACCTATCTGACTATACGTGCTAGGCACTTATACAATCTGGAGATATTTGTAATGCCAAATGTGTAAAGACATTGTGTAAACTCTACTTGAATAAATTAAAAATAAATAATTTAAATATAATAATTAAAATATAAATTATTTTCATATTGAATGTAACATTTCTTATGTTATCCTAAGTCATAAAAAATTATAAGTTCTATTTCACTAATAGAATCTATGATTTAAGTTAATGATTTCTACCAGTCTTCTTTGAATTTATTATATCTAGAGTAGTTCAGACTTTTTCATACTACATTAGTTTTAAAAATGGCTTTAATTGTTCGAATAACCAGAATCATTTTTATGAGTATTTTTCACAGCATTGTTAATTTATTCTGTTGTATTTATAATATTTTTAAAAATTTAAATTTGTAAGTAGTTTAACCTGTAGATTCTAATTTGAATTACTAYTATCTTGTTTTCAAAATATAGATTTATTCAAACTTTACATGTTTAAAGTAATTAACTTAAACTTATATCATAATGAAATTTTTTGTATCTAATTTTAAATATGTTTAAAAAGTTAACATTTATCTTAATTTCTTGTYTCATAATTGTAGATATTATTCTCAATAAGTTACTGAGTTTATTTTGTATCTTTTACACAAAGTTCCTAACTTATATGTATTTAAGCCTTAAGGTATCTTTAATCTTAACTAACAGAAATTAGAAGAAAATAGAAAAGAAACCAGGATAAAGGTTATTCAAGTTRGTTATATAAAAACAAGAGTGAAATGTTTATCATTTTTATGATTGTATTCATATAGTCATATATATTTTARTTAATACAAAGCATATTTATGAAACTAACTCATTACCTATAGTAATAAGGTATTACTAATAAAAACAAATTAATGCTCAATTATATATTAATAAGTATAAGCTATTAATATTTTCATAAATTAAAAAAATATATTATTTATTTAAAATATATTATGTATATATTATTTTTTTTATAGGTGTATACAATCAAAATGTAAAATTAGTCAAGATGAACCCATTTTAGATGTAGGATGTGGAAATGCTTTACTCTTAATCCAATTAGTAATTATACATTTTTAAATTTGTATTAAATATTATTCATAATAATTGGTGTTGTTAAAAAAATAACAATTGTAATCAGGCTAAATTAGGATTTTCCAATCTGTATGGCATAGATTATTCAGCTCCTGCAGTAAAATTAGCAAATTCAATAGTTAAAGATCAAAATATTGAAAATATAACACTAAAGGAGTTTGACTTTTTGACTGATGACGTGAAAATATTACCGACATTTTCATTGGTCTTGGATAAAGGTACTTACGATGTTATTAGTATGGAAGATGAAAGTAAAGAAAAGAGAAACCGTTACAAAGAAAACATAGTCAACTTGTTACAGCCAAACGGAATGTTTTTGATTGTTAGCTGTAATTGGACACAATTTGAATTGAATGCTCAWTTTGGCGATGGTAAGAAGTTACTGAGTAATAATTTTGTTTATTAAAAAAAGAAAAAATGTGTTTTTCTCTTTAGTTTTTCAAGTTGTTCATACTATACCGACTCCGTCATTCCAGTTTGGAGGAGCTGTTGGTAATACACTGTCGGCCATTCTTTATCAAAAATTATAAAAAAAAGGGAAAAAAATGTGATGTTTTATTCAATACTGTAAAATTACTATGTGATTTTCTTTGCARAAAAAAATCTAAGCTATTTAATTGTAGTTATTTTGCAAGACAGCTGCAACTAAAACCGCTAAACATATGGATATCACTGCTCGTACACCACCTGCAACATAATTTAATAAATTTTATTGCATTGACATGACTCATATGAAACTAACTCGGCGTTATTTGTTTCCTAACATCAAACTCACCACTACAAGTCCCGTCTTCGTCGGCAAATTCCTCTCTACACTGGCATACCTTAATGTCCGAGTGTATTTCACTAACGTTGTGTGTACAATGAGCCAGCTGGATGCATTGGATATCCTTTTCGCAAGGCATTCCCAGTTCTGTAAACCATTGTTCGTGAGAACCACATAGCTGAATGGTGATAAACTTAAACACGACATTTCGCGTCAAACCAACTCTCGAGATTACCTTGTGGGGACGTTATGCAATCGTCGTTGATCGGATGCGTTTGATCCGCACACAGACACCGTTGTTGGCCGTCTACCGGATCCTTGCCGCATGACGTCTTCGGCCATGGCTTGCAGTTGTTGTCATTACGGCACTCGGACCGTCGAATGGCGTCTAAAACCAATTGTAAATTATTTATTTTGATATAGTGAACAACTGCCAATAGTATAGCCAATATAGGTTGTTTCTGAAATTGAAGAGGTCACTATAATAGTGAATCAGAATGGCGTATACGCATCGTACACTCACCGTGATGGCCGATTAAAGATTTTTTTCTACCTTCAAAATCTGGGTTTGTTTAATTTATTTTTATGATATTATTTTAAATGTAAAAATAAATACTCTAGTCGTATATTTTGCAATATTCTCTTGCGGATCTTTTTTCACGCTCGAATTACCGGCTAAAAAGCAAATGGTGTGCTTCATCGATTTGTATGAGAACACTAAAAAGTAAACAGTGGTGATAGTTTTTTGAAGTCATTAAAAATACATCACTAATTAGTACCCAGTGTTTTACATTATCAACTAGAGGTCGCGATTACACGTGTAAATGTGTAATGAATTAGGTACACGGGTACCCGTGTTTTTACCTATGGCGGGGTTAAAGCCCGTKTTATAAAAATACCCGTGACCTTAAATACTCATATATTCGTAATAAAAATCATCAATAATATTAATAAACTACAATAATTAAATAAATGTGCACCTAAGTATTTATATTAAAGTATATCTGAATTCTGAATTAATATACAATATATGAACGGGTATTAAATACACGGGTTTTAATATTATTTTTGCCCGCGTACCTATCCGGGCTCCGTATGTCCGTGTATTCTAATACCCGTTCACAACCGCGACTCCTATTATCAATTAATAAAAATGATGAAAAATTTTTAAAAACATTTTACATWTTTAAGTACTTACAGAATGTATACTAATTTAAAATATTTTCATCTTTAAATAACGTGAGTCCTGTTAGACTTAAAATTCTTAATTTAAATAATGTTCTGCTAAAATTCCGATAATTTAAAACTCTGTCATTCCTAATTTAGTTGTTTTTTTTTTTATTAGTCAATAATGTAAAACAATGCAGTGTTAATAAGTCATGTATTTTAAATGACTTAAAATAAAYWTCACCACTGTTTGTCTTGTTAAGTTCAACTATGTTAACCTTGCAAAACATACAACTTGAGCATTTGTTTATGCATTTAAGAAAATATTCTAATTTCAATTCAATGAACTYAGATTTTGAAGACAGAAAAAAAAATGTTCATTTGGAGTGAATATTTCATTCACAATGAGATCACTCATTTATTTCAGAAACACCCTGCATGATTACATTTTAATATTAACATTTAACACCCTCAAATAATGTTCGTGTTTATGTATCAAAAACTTCTTCTAAAAAATACAAAAAAAAACTTAAATGAGAAAATGGCTTAAGCACCCTTAGTTATTTTTTTTTTTTATTGAAATTGCTTTAATATCTATGATATACATAATATCTAYGATGAACGGTAAAAGTATAGGCCTATATTTTTTGGGTTTATAGTTCCTATACAGAGGCACAGAGCACGAATTTCATTGCAAATACAATTTTTTCAGAGTATAGTGAAACATCTAAATACTAAACTCTTCAAAAGGTTAGCTAAATAGAGCTAAAGAAAGAAAACTCCCGCTATAAAACTCCCACTGTCCATTCAAAGAAGTTTCAATATATTTTATAACGTTATTGCTTTAAAAATAATTTCATTCTTACATCATCTTAGAATCTAAAAATAAAATATTTGTTTTGCATATTAATATATTATGATTTTTGAATGAATAGTTTTTTAAATGTTTTAATGTTTTATAGGTTAAAAATAGAGATTAATCATAGTAATAGTATTCAAAACTTAAATAGATAGGCTACAACACCATTGCACACGGATAGCCGTATATAGGTACAAAGGAAAACCAATCAATCTCAAATAATTGACAGAAGAGGAAACTAAAAATAAGAATAATGTTACGAACCGTAAAAAAGTCTAATATAGGTATATACATAATACTTTTTTTAATCAATATTAGATATATTTAAAAAAAAAATGAAAACGTATTTTTTGTAACATTTAAGTGCATTATATTGATTTTTAAGAAATTTGTTGTTGTCATTAGTTTTTAGAGCATTTTAACGCACGCCAAACTAATTATTACATTTGAGTGACCGCGGTCACCTATATATCTAAAATTTTAACGGTGGGTGCGGTTACCAAGGTCCTTATTATTCCCCTGCAAATATATCACTCACTACCAATATATACGTACTCCATACCTACATATATATTATAATATAGTCTTGTCCATACATATTATATATTTATATACCTACCTAATACAGCAGTATATACATAGGTGCACACAGAATGTATGATATGAGTTTAAAGTGATATATTTGAGGTCTAATAGGGACCTTGTTTACCTCACCCATATCCGGTCACCATTGGTCAGAGCGGCGGATGATGGGTACAGGATACCTACATAAACTTGTCTCGTATGTGACCCCCTAAGTCCCAAATCCTATATAAGCTGACAATTTTTGGGTCCATCACCGATGCGGTGCAGTGCTGCATCACCTTTATGACATAAAAGTGGTGTGCAGGGGGACGGAACTCGCCCACTATTGTTTTTTTACGTACACCAAATATATATTTTTTCACAGGAACGGGGGAACGGCACAAACTTATGTCCAAAATGATTTTCATTAAAATTAGGATTTAATTCACAGTAATTGTATAACGACACAACGAATCTTATAATTTTTGGTATCAAAATTATTTTTGATGTTTTATTATCATTTMTATGATCCTATATTTTTATTTTTTTTATTTCCTTGCTTATATCATCTAATTTATAATATCACACCGTTGTTTTCATATTATTTAAGGTACATTATGTCTGTGGACTATACTTGGACTAGTATGCGATCATAATGTTAATGGTGGTAATTGTGCACTTGGAACGCTGCAGTTTGGTTGAGCTCATCTACTGAATTGTTCCCAATTCGAGCAATGAGCCAATGAACATAAGTAATACCTAATACATATGATAATAATAATAATAATAATGTATACTAGGCTATATCAAATATCCAACCACCTTGCTGAAGCACTCAACCCGGACCCCAACAATATACACAAGATCATACTATTTCTCAGACAAACGAATCTTATAAACAAACTGTAAATTGTAAATAATACTATTCACTTAACTCCTAATTACTACTACTTTGTCTTGTTTTAAATACTAAATCACTTTGTATATCTTTTTAAATATTAATGTAATATGTAAATATACTAATATATAATGTACTG